CAAAGATTCATTTAAATTACAATTAGAAAGCCACATTTCTATTTGATTTTCTTCACCTTAAGGGCAAGCTTTGTCAGGATACTCTGCCTACCTTATCCCATGTAATTCTGTAATACCTCCAAGACAATACATAGTCCTAAATCTCCTGTTAGTGTTGTTGTGCTATACATACCAATGTTAGTACCTTGAGTATTTTAGTGCTTTGTACCTTTGGAGCATGGGAAGTTGACAATGCAATAATATCTAGAATGGATCTGTAGCAACAATATTCAGTCATGTTGAACCTACTGTTCTTTTTCTTGCTATGGATACTCAGAAGAGCTCAAATACATTTCTGATTGTGTAAGTGTGGCTACTCTCTCCAATGTTACTGGTTATAGCTCATCTCTCAATCATATCCTCTTTTAAGAGTGGGATCATAGAATCACAGATTTAGAACGAGAAGAAATATTAGAAGCCAACAAATTCAACCCTCTTAATTTTATAGATGAGGAAATTGAGGCTCCAAAAGGTTGTGATTTGTCAAAAGTCACACAATTAACAAATGACAGAAGCAGGATTTGAACCCACATTCTGAATTTACAAAGCCAATAATGCTCTTTCTACTACACCATAGCACTTAAAAAACATATTTTTTTATTTAACAAAAATCAATTTTCTCTCCTTTCCCTGTGCCGTTGGAAAAAGAAAAGAAGAACAAAACCTTTCCAAAAGGCAATCAAACTGTGCATACCCTTTGATCCAGCAATGCCACTACTAGGTCTGTATCTAAAAAAGATCATAAAAAGGAAAAAGGACAAAAACATCTGTGGCAGCTCTTTTTGTGGTGACAAAGAATTGGAAATTGAGGGAATGCTCATTAGTTGGGGAATGGCTAAACAAGTTGTGGTATATGGATGTAGTGGAATACTATTTTGCTATAAGAAATGATGAGCAGGCATATTTTAGAAAAACCTGTAAAGACTTACATGAACTGATACAAAGTGAAGCGAGGAGAACAGGAGAACACTGTACACAGTAATGGCAATACGGTGCAATGATCAACTCTGATTGACTTAGCTCTTCTCAGCAATACAATGATCCAAGAGAAGTCCAAAAGACTCATGATGGAAAATGCTATCTACATTCAGAGAAAGGAGTGATGGATTGAAGCATATTATTTTTACTTTTTTTTATGTGTGTTTTTCTTTTTGGTCCATTTTTTGTTCCACAACATGACTAATATGGAAATGTGTTTTACATGATAACAAATATATAACAACAAATTGCTTACCATCTTAGGAGGAAGGGAGAAAATTTGGATATCAAAATGAAAAAAAAATGTTAAAATTTCTCTTTACATGAAATTAGAAAAAATATTATTAAAAAAGAAAAACAAAACCCTTGTATGATAGTGCTTTTTTGCACTAAAACCTAAGTTCATGTTATAAACAGTACAAAAACTCCACGTGATTATTAGCATACAGCAACTTGTGATGAGACAGAGCCTCTACCCTAAAATGTTAGCTTTCAATTTGATAATCTTGAACTTAATGTGGTAAATTGAAGTTGAAAGGAAAATATTGTGTTAAAAGCTCTCCAGTCATTTACAAATTAAGATAATGTGTTCTTTTTTTACAGTTAAAAATAACTGTCTTTTATCTAATTTGCAGTTGAAAACATGGTTGGACTTCTAATTCTAAAATGTAGAGACAAAGTAGAATCCAATTAGAAGACTCCAGATTCCCAAGTTTTCAAAAAAGGCTGACGTTTGAGAAAGAGAGTAGTTATTCATGTTTGGAAATCCCAAAGTAAACAAGGACAAGAAATTTATCTTGGAACAATGAAATGTATACAGTTGCCTCAGCTTAAAGAGTATGTGTCGATAGGAAAGTAAGAGTTAAATGAATATAGATGGGAAAAGCCCAGAGAAGCTTATCAATGGAAGAACGAGTATGCATGTTATAATTATATTAGCATGGATCTGTAGAGAAAGAAGACTCTGTATCCATTTAGAAATCAATAACATGAAAGTCTGAGTTAACAGAATGGTAGGAAAGCCTTGGAATAAATGTAATAATGTTTGTGAAGCATTTAGTACAATGCTTGGCACAGAATAAGTACTTATTTCCTTTTTTACTTTCTTGCATTAAAATATCTGATGACTGCTTCTCCTCATCTGTTTCCAGAGTAGTTGGAAATTTTAGTTGTTTTTTTTTTTGGGGGGGGGGATGTCATCAGAGAGATGTATGGCAAGAAAAGAAGGTGGGCCACCAATAGGGTGATAGCAAGGGATAAATTGATGACCCATTCACGTACTGCCCTGATATTCAAACAATATGAGGGAATTATAGGAAGGGCCTTTATTTTTTGGGTGGATCATCTATGAAGGGTTTATAAGACATTGACAAGAATCACTCAGAATGAGAGGAAGGAAGGAAGGACACAAGCATTTATTGGGTGCTTTTTATATGTCAGGCAGTGCTAACCAGTTTATGGCTTACAAATATTATCTCATTTGATTCTTACAATCTCATTTGATTCTTACCTGTGAAGTAGGTTCTATTATGAGCTTCATTTTACAGTTGAGGAAAGCAAGGCAGACACTAAGTGAATTGCCCACAGTCACACAGCTACTAAGTGTCTGAGGCTGGATTTGAGGTCAAGTGTTTCCGACTGCAGGCCCATTGCTCTACCCACTGAGAGAAGTTGAGACTCCTAAACTCAACATTGCAGAGAAGGTTTTTACCTAAATTGGTAGAGGGAGTTTCCTCACCTGAGAGTGTCCTACTCCAAAGAAATCACAGGCCCAATCAGAAATAAAAATGGTGGTGCTATATGGATGGATTGGAAGAATGAGAGTTTTAAAGCAGGAGACTTATTAGGTGGTTACTAGTATCATCTCATAAAGACAATAAAGTCCTGAGCTTGGATTGCACTGAGGGATAGAAAGGAAAGGTTGAATTTAAGAAATATTACAACAGCAACAACAAAAAATAAGGCCAACTAGGTGATGCAGTGGATAGAGCCCTGTGCTTAGAATCAGGAAGACTGCTCTTCGTGAGTTCATATGGGGCCTCAGACACTAGCTATGTGACCTTGGACACAGGGTCAGACTGGACACAGTCAGTTAAGCCTGTTTGCTTTGGTTTCCTCATCTGTAAAGTGAACTAGAGAAGGAATGACGAACCACTCCAATATCTTTGCCAAGAAAGCCCAAAATGGGGTCATGAAGAGCTGGATGCGACTGAAATGAATGAACAATGATAACAACAGCAACAAAACAGTTGGAAGGACCTGACAGCTGGTGAGAAGGGGGAGGAACAGAAAGGGATCAAAAAGCATTTTAAAGATACTACTTCTGAATACTGAACGGTGCCCTGGGAATGAATTACACTTGTGAAGACAAACATCTCTGCATCTCTCACATCTGGCTTCATTAAATACTCTTTTATATTCTTAGAGAGAGCTATATACTCTGCTTCTAAATTACTCTTGGGCACGCTGAAGCAGTAAGACACTAAACAAGTTGCGGTAACTTGAAGGAATTCCCGTAGCCCTCAAAGGTGCCTAGTAGATAACTGGGGACTAATGGGAGCTCAAGGGAGAAACCGATGCACTAGTTGGTAAATTAATGGGCCAATAAATGGAAGTTCTGTGCCAGCACGTCTTAGCGGCTAGGTATCAAAATGTGTTCTCTTCAAGTTGTATGCCTATTACAGTTAGCCTGAGTTTGCTTACAAAAAGGACCATTGTACACCTCCATGTACAATGAACTGTAACCATAACCCTGTTCCATGTTATGTGCATGTGACACAAAGGATCATAACCAGGTCAGGAAAAAATCAGTTATCTTTGCCCTCATGATTTGTTGGAAAGTCTGAAATACAATTAATCTAATCATACCAATATACCAGTGGCAGAAATTCCTTTCCACTGAATGCAGATGACAACCCTTCTATAACGTGGTAGATAGTTAATCAAAAAGCATTTATTGAGCATTTACTGTGTGCCAGGCACAGGTGTGCATGTGTGCACACATACCAACACATGCACACACACACACACACACACGGACTTAGAGAATCACAAGAGGCTAAGAGTGGTTTGGGGCAGTTTGGTGGTATAGTGGATAGAGTGCTGGGCCTGAAGCCAGAAGAACCTGAGTTCAAATGAGGCATCAGACATTTGCTAGTTGTGTAACCCTGGGCAAGTCATTTAACCCTCTTTGCCTCAGTTTCCTCATCTGTAAAATGAGCTGGAAAGGAAAATAGCAAACCATTCTAGTATCTTTGTCAAGAAAACCCCCAAACGGGTCACTAAGAGTTGGACACAACTGAAAAATGACTAAACAAAAAGAGTGGTTTAGTGACTTGCCCATGGTTGCGTAGCCAGGGAGCCTAAGGGGTAGGACTGGAACCCACATCTTCTTGACTCAAAGGCTAGCCTTTTAGCTACTACACCATGTTGTTTCTCTAACTTAAATCATATGTGAAAGGATGGGGGGGGCATGGGATGTAGTGGAGAGAGTTTGCTTGTGAAAGTTATATTTCCATGGTAAAGCAAAGACCTAACGGCTATGCAGTAATTTGCTTTGTTGGCCTCCGTAATAACGGATTGGGTTGCAGAAGAAAATGTAATCAGTTAGCCTCCTTTTCCTTTCATGAATTTATCTTTAGGCAACAGTAAATAAATATATTAGTTTGACAATCCATTGTCAAGCAGAGGTTTCCTTGTTCATATCCCTTCTAAGTCCTGAATCATTTAGGAGGCAATGGCTTTAACAATGTATGGGTATTCACCTATCCAACATTTCTTTAATAAAAAATAATTTATTCAGCATGAGTGGGAAAATGACCCCCTCTGCTTCCCTGCCCTCTTCACTTCCAACCACCCCAAAACATAACCTGCCAAAAGGCGAACAAAAATATAAGGCTTATGGTAATACAGACTGGGCACTGAATAGCATGCGCTCGGGTCATTGGCAACATTTCTGCTATGGACAGCCATTGTACACTCACCCGATAAGCCGCCCACGTCCATCTTCTTCAGGTTCTTTGCCTCGAGGATGACGACAGTTAGCTTGCCAGCAGTGGGTACATAGCGGAGGGAGAAACAGATATCGCCCAACTTCTCTTGCTGTAAAAACGAAAGCATATTTGTTATTTTTAAACAAACAAATGAGCAGGAACATGTTTTACAAATATAATTTATAAGCACCTTGAGAACAAGAATCATGTCAAACAAAATCCATAAAATTTTAGGGAACCAAATCTGTTGCCGTTAGTTTAGTACCTTTCAAATAGTTTTTTAGTCCAATTATTTTTTTATTTCTAATGTTTGTTAATATGGTGGATATGAAGGCTACACTTGGATCAGGAAGACTCCTGGGTTCATGACCTCTTCTTATTAGTAACTCATTTAAACCATTCAAAGCCTCAGATAATTCTCTAACACAAGAAGTGCTAGACTGGCTACAATCTGCCTCAGAAGAGGGAGATTCTACACTCCTTCCATACTGGAAGAAATCATTAACACAGACGTTGAAGTCAACAGTGTGAAAAATGAGACCATGATGGCATGTAAGGAACAAAAAGTACCACAGAATTCTTTGGATAAATTTGCAGTTCTTCTAGCTCAAAAAATCCAACATGGATGGCCTTTAATTTTATAACAGGATCAACTTGCTGAGGTTTGGACTTTAGCTGGGGTGTGCTGGAGATAGCTCATACAATTCTTAAATTTTCAGTGTGAGCATTTACATCTTGAAATTTGGCAAATGTTACAAATCAGGGCTTGACTTATTGTTTTGTTGATTGTCTATTCTTAAGAAAGTGATGGAGAAAAATGTGAATAATGCAGATTAAACTTAACGGTACGCCATGCATACATTCTACCCTCCCCACGAGTAAGTTGGTTGTTAAACATTTGCTAGCACATCTTTGACTTCACCCATTCTGGATCATTTTCTTAGAGTTGAAAACAGCTTCAGAGGCCATGTATAGTTCACACCACTGATTTTTACAGATGAGGAAACCAGAGTTCCACAAAGTGAAGTGACCTTCTCAATGTCACATAGATGAATTAGGAGAACTGGAATTTGAACTCAGTTCCACTCTCATTAAATTCACTCTTTCCATTGTCCTCTGGGCTTGTAATTTGTAGAAAAAGGCCAATATGCATTTAATGAATGCATTAGATTGCATTTATTTTTATTTATTTTATTTTTCATTTATGGAATAAAATAAGTGTTTCCATAATAGTATAATAAAAAAGATGATCACAAATGAAACTGCAAATCTATTACGTACAACTTGTGATTCCTTTTAAATATATAATAAGCTATCATGTAAATTTTTTTTTCCTTCCATCCCCTCCCCCTAAAGATGATTACCCTTTAATATTGCATTTATGGATGAAGAGAATTCTGTTTCAAATAGATGGAATGCAAAAATGTGGGGAAGTTTCTGGATAAAGAAGTCAATTTTAGTTCTTTCTCATCATTTTGGACTCCTACTCCAAACGTCCTCTTCATCCCCTATCCCCACTCCCCAAACATCATTATTTATTTTCACTGTTACAATCTCAAAAAATCTATAAAAATGTGAGACAAAGAATTTCTCACCAACTCAGATAAATTAATTCACTTAGCCAGCCTTATTTTCCAAAATATCTAAAAAGGATATTTTGAAATGACCTTGACACTGTGAACTCTAAGGTCCCGCCCCAGTTCTAAATCTGATGGTTCTTAGATATTTCTGAGGAGCTGATTTTGAGGTTAAAATAATTATACATATGTTAAAAAAAACTTTTTGGAGCAAGGAAACCTGCCAGCTCTTACTTCAGCCTAATTGGTGTGAAAGCCTAACTTTCCACCATAGCCTTTTATGTAGTACCCTGTGGTTCAACACAGATAGGATTTTCATTCAGCCATATGAGAACAGTAAATGGTGTTAACAGCATACTAAACGTTTATTATTGAGTGAAACCCCACATTCCCTACTTTAGAATGTAAGCTTCTTGAGGGCAGAAACTTTTATTTTTATCTTTGTATCTCCTTTGTCTAGCACAGGGCCTGACATGTAGCGAGTGTTTAATCATTACTTGTTGATTGGTTAATATACTGTCAGTACTGGTTGATGTGTGATTAGTTTTGCTGAACTTTTTTCCCCTCCCTCTTTCTTTTTTATTATTTCTTACAAAGAATAGCACTCTGGGTATGGGAGGGACATATATGGAAATGGAGGTGATGAAAGATGCCAATAGAAACTTAAAAAAATTTCCTCCTTCTTCTGTATTTGGTCTGTACTCCTGCTCCTTGAGATAGGTCACTAGGGAGGCAGTAAACTGGTGTTGGCGTCTTAATAATTTTCTATAAATATGAATTCCTATTCCAAAGGAGGGAGGGATGTAATTTAACATGATAATTAGATATGGGGGTTTCAAGCATAGCTGAATCCCAAGACAACCAATTCAGTAGAGTTAACCAACTGGTTCTGGATGGCCCACAGATGTTAGGGAGCTGTGGGTTTATACGGGGAAGAACAAAGGGAGCTCCAATACATGTTGAACAAACCCCGGCTGATTTTGAATATCACATCATATCATATCAGCCTCAAGGGGTATAGAGGGGAGAAGAGAGGTACACTTCATTGGAGTCCAGGACTGCACTGATAGTTAACCATCAGTCGTTCTGGCTACTTCTACATGTATGTTCTTGCTCATAAAAGGATTGATTTAATCATCCTGCATTGTCACACGGGACTTGGAAAGAGAGATTTTAAGTCTAGCACTGGCTTCCTCAGGTTCCTATGGGTTCATCTATTCTCAACAATGACTTGCTGATGCACATGTCCATGCATCAATGGTCATCCTGATTTTCCCAGGTTTTACTATAATATCTGGATGACAGTTCCCCATTTGAAGAAACATGTTACTTCTTTCGAGTCAGCAAGAAACTAGTGTTACAATCAAATCTCAGTTATCTGAGGGGAGATTATTTGAATTGCTACCTAACCACAGGTGAGAAATATATTTTTTTGGTGACATGACCTTTTCCTCCTAATTGACTCCTTTGTTGACATTTTTTGCCACAGATTTTTACAGCACAAAGAAGCCTATAAGAGGTCTGATTTTTCCCTGCTCTTAAAAGAAAATGTTTAATGAGTTTCCTTATTAATAAGACTGGTCTGAGCTCAGGAAAGAGAACTTAGAGAGTAAGTGTTCCATAAGACTTTGCATCAGTCTTAGATGCCATGTAGCTTAGCCCTAGCATAGGGTGAAAAGCATTGGACCAAGATGGAAAGCTGGGTAATTTTTTCCATCCTATAAAACAGATAGATATATTTCACTTTGGAGCTTGGGGAAGTCTTACAGCCTCCCTAATTAGCACAGGTCGGTTTCTCATCTTATCCTAATTGATATCTTGGTCTCTCTGGGAAAGAGATACAAGATAAATAAGTTTCAATGGAAAAAGTAGACAAGAGGAGGGAGAGATAGGGCTGGAGAATGAGAGAAATAAATCTTGGAGGAGACAGGAGAAAAGAGGCCGGGGGAGAAGTGAGGGGGGTTTAGATCCTATGATACTTTGTATTTTTAAATTTTAATTTAATTATTTTTAAAATGAAAAACATTTATTTTCTTGTACACCCAGAGGAACTGGGTTCAAATCCCAGCTCTGCCAATTAAGCTGTGTGACCTTTGGGAAAGTCATGTTACCTCTCTTGACCTCAGTGTCTTCAACTGTAAAATAAAGGGGTTCTACTAGATGACTTCAAAGGTCCTATCTTGAAATCTATATTTCTAGAATTCTATATATTCCTGGCCCAAAGCCCTATTTTAAGCCTCCTTTACACTCCCTTTTCCATCTCTCTAAGCCTTGAAGATAGTTGCCTAGCCTTAAGAAGCTTATATTCTGATGGAAATTTCCTATGGACTTTGAGTTGGAAGTGTTCCTTAGAGATCATCTAGCCCAACCCTCTCATTTTACAGATGAAGAAACTGAGGCCCAGAGGAATACAGTGATTCATCCAAGTATAAATGACTTTAGGATAAATGTCCCATTTTGGATCTATCCAGGTCTATACTCCTTTGCACAAGAAGGATGGAATACTGAGTACAATTTGCTAAATTTTACTTCAAGTGTCTACTTACTCCTGGGGAATTAATGTTCACATCAAGAGAATCTAAGTGGAATAAATTATTTTTTTCTGTCTCCAAAAATATAGCCTTATAATCAATATTACAGAAAATTAATACAAAGCACAGACAAATACATCTGAACTTTGAGAGACAAGAGAAACGTAAATGAACAAAATTGCTGTTCAAAAATGCTCGTTAAGAAGAGGGTTATCTTGGCTGTCTTTTATCTCTTCTCCACAATAGCCCCTCTGGGGACCTCCCAGTGCTGCTTCAGCCCGGTGGAATCAGGTTACACTAACCACTTCAATTAGGCATTTCAGGCACAACTGTTCTCTCAGATGACAGCTCTCCTTATGGTCCATAATCTAATTCTACAGTAATTTGGAGGACCACAACTGTTTTAAACAAAGGAAAAATAATGGAATTCATCTTTCTCGTAGGCTCCTTAAAGGCCTGTTTTCTGGCATTTTCTCTACCTCTGTAGAAACATTTACCTCCAGTCATGGTTTCAGAAGAAGCAGGATGACTAACTTAGGGGCCATCCCCTTGTGATTTCTGAAGAGCCTAGCACAGGTACTGTTTTTCTCTCCCTTTGTTAGTAGCACTTAATAAATGCTTCTTGAGGAGAAAAGGCATAAAAGAGGAACTTTGGCCTTCTCAGTTACATGCCAGTTTCAGAAACAGATATAGTTTTTCCACTGGAAAGGACATTAGAGAAGACGCTTTGCTGCCCTGAGGACCACCGGGCCTTTCCATCTAACTTACAGCTGAAACTGCTTATATATGCTATCTCTCCCCTATCAGAATGTGAACTTCTCAAGATCAGAGACTCTGTTTTTTTTTCTATTTGTGTCCTCAGAGCTTATTTGAGTGTTTTATATATAGAAGTACTTAAGAAATGCTATTCATTTATCCATCCATCCATCTTTATGTGTCCTGAGATAATATAAGATGGAATGTGAAGGGTGAGGCTGCAACTTAGCCTCAGGAGTGAATCT